GTAGCCTCTGAGATAGTTTCCTGAGACATTATGACACAGAAGTGTAGCAGAAAGCATGATTGACTCATGGTCCAGTATAAAGAAACTTCATGACTAACATAGTTCATTCAGTTTAAACTGTAGGTTTCTTATCTGTGACATGAATGTAATAACAGTTATGGGTACCTGACTTTCAGAGGAGTGTGTTCTTCTGCAAAAAACAAATAATCACTGGTGGAAACATTATTATCTTAAAAAGAGCATAAATAGAAAGTGAGTTTACGCTTAAAAAAGTCATGAGAGAAGACAGGCTTGATGGCTTTGTATCATCTATTATATAAATGGCATCTAATCCTGAATGAGCTCTGGCTACTAGTATTTTAAATATACTAATAAAGGATAACACTAAAACAAAAGAGATCAGACAAGCATTTAATATAGCAGTAAAACATTATGTTAGAATTGGAATGTTACAGGAGACAGGAGATGCAGTAGATGACCATCAGGCCTTGTTGAGTAAGGATCTGATTCAGCACATACTCATTGGGAATAATTCACCAAGAGTATCCATACAGACAGGAAATTCATTTTTCTACTATCTTTAGAAGGGCACGAGAGTCCACAGATACAAAGCATGCTGCTAGCCCACGTGCTGATTCAGATGGCACTTGACTTGAGAGAGGCTTTCAGAACTAAGTAAATATTGAAGCTAAATGAGATGTTTATTAGTTGCCTGTGTTCTTGGTTCGTGGAAGACTGCAGAAGTGTAGCCATTTGTCCCCTGTAAACACAGTCCAGCTAATTGCCTATGAAGAGAACAGTTCATAGAAGGGAAGGAGGAAAACTAATCCCTGCTACTGTCCTTTCTGCTGCTTTCAGGAGTGAAGTTGTAGTTGAGTCTTCTACTTCTCTATTTGCTTTACTGAAGAGACAGCAGGATTCCTACTGCTTAACTGTGGCAAGACAAGAGGTTTTCTCTCTGCTGCATCTCCAGGGCCCCATAATGCCCTGATAAAGCCTAGATTCCAGCTGCTCTCTCTCACCATCAGTTCATTTAGTTTGTCTTATCAATACCGTACAAATCTGGTTCAAATTAGAATTACCACCAGGAATACACAGGATGTTTTTTAGCATTTTCTCCATAGGGGGGAAAAAAAAAAAAAAAAAAAAAAAAAAAAAGTATTAACTTTTGAAATAACTGACCCTTGGTAGCTAAGTCTGATAGCAAGGTAGTGATTTACTAAATTTATTTAGTGTAATGTGAAAATGGGCAACTATATGCAGGACCCTACTAATAGTGCCTTTTAAGAAAAAAAAAAATGTAGCTCAAGGATACTTCTTGTTAGTCACCAGAGAATCTGCATGGAAAAGAGCCAGTGTGAATGTTAAAGTTCTTGGAAAGCTTTAACTCAGCTTTCTTATTTTATCAGACCTTGGGAATTCTATTGGTGTTTCTTTGGCAAGTCCAGCTGAAGCTTTTTCCAAATTTTGGCATTATAATTTTTAATATAGTGTGAGCTTACTCTGCACCAGTAGGTGTTGTTAAGTATCAGCCAGGGGACACAAAAGCTTAGGTAAACAAGCTTTGCTAGTTCTAATAAACACAGACATCTCTATTTTTATTTTATTCTGTGGTGAGTTCTGAGTAGACTCTTTCTTTTGAAAAAGAAAATGGATTCTTAAATTCTTTCCCAAGATAAGGCTTCTAGATTACAAATTTCAGCGCATTCTAAAGAAATTTCAATTGGTAATAAAAATTTTGTGATGGCATAGGTCTAGGATCTATTGGAATCTCAGACAAAACCATCAGTAATCAGCTTAAAAGTGAAGTCTGTGGTTTCTAATGGGCTCATATTGTGTTTTTGTTTTTTTGTTTTGTTTTGGCTTGATTTGGCTTGTTTTTTGTTTCTTGTTTTTTTTTTTTTTTTTTTTTGACAAAAACTTGAGCTATTCCTTTGTATTCTGATTTTGTGCTCTAAGGAAGCAGGAAATCAGAATTGTTGGTAAAACTTTTTGACAGTTAAGTTTTGCATGCATAAGTGTAGTGATTTGTATTTCGCGTTGTCTTCATCCTCATGCCAAACATAATCTAGAAGAGTTGAGCATGTCAGAAAAATATTCATGAGGACAATGTAATATCCTTTGATCTCTACTGCTAGGATCAGACACTATTACAGAAAAGCAAACATGGGAGTGTGACATCTTTAACACACACTTTTTACCAAAATGGCTTTTATTTTCTCAACTGCTAATTTAATTTTGTTCTACCTTGAAAATTTGTCCCTTCTCTCATTATCCTGAAACAACAGTACAGTACTCAGATACAAATTGTATGGGAAACTGATAGTGAGGAACCAACACCTAACATTTCATGTGATACAAAAAATAGAACTTGAAAACAACCTGGAAAATTAACCCAGTACTGGATTCAATGTCCAAGAGTCCTAGAATGAGCCCAATTACAACTCTGGGGAAAAGAAAGAAATTATAAATGGTACAGACTTTTTCTCAAAACATGGTTTATTCATAAAAAGAAAACAATAAAAATGCGTGCTGGGGTGTCTTGCTGCAATGCTACTTGAAAAAATTAGCCAAGCTTTCCTCTTTATTTTGAGCAAAGTTTGTTGCTTTCTGAGAGGCTTGCTTTTTTGACGGTGAGCAAGTGTTCTTTTGGCAGGTTCTTATAGACAGTGCAGAAATGTAGGGACATTCTTGTCCTATTAGTAGGAAGATACGGCCCTTTGCTAAAATCAGCTAGAGGGGAGAAGAGCACTAGGAAGGGATGTATGGTGGCAGAAGTTCATTTGGCCTTGTGGGATTTTTGATAAAAGCTTGAAGTTGAAACAAACGTTCACTCTACAAACATTTTGAAGCACTCTGTCATTAAAGCAGTAAATTATTGTAATATGATGTATATATTAAGTTCTCTTGCTTGGCTTCAATGAAAGGATGTTTTTTTCTGATAGTCTGCTTTATTTCTCTGGCATTGCAAGATTGTACCTTGGGATGAATTTGCAAATAATTAATGCAGAAATATTTAGAGACTCCACCACAAATTATACCGGTATGAGTGACTTAGTTCCAACTCTTCTTCCAAGAAGCAAACCAAATATTTAACAGGAAAAAAAAAAAAAAAAAAAAAAAAAAAAAAAA